TTAACCACCTTGGGGACCTTCTGCTGAACTCACTTCAGTTTATCAACATCCTTCTTTTGCTGACAGGGCAGGACTATGCCAATCTGGCAGCATTTGTATGTTTATACCTATAACATATTTTTATATGCTCTGCTTACCTAATAAGCAGCAGAATGGTTGATGCAACTTGCATTTATTATATGTAACAGCTGTATCAAACGAGAATTGATTCCTAGCATATGATGACATATATTCTATAATTGTAAAAGGATCATGATAGTAATGTTCTTGTAGGAAATACTTGAATTTTCTGCTTACTCACTGATAATAACAACTCCTATTTAACCATCAGTTATTATCATTGGATATGAAAGAGCATGGAAAGGATCTGGCATACCCTCAACAAAACCCAGTATTTAGATTTGACACTTGTCACTATAGGTCTGGATCATCTGCCATCTGAAAGCCTTGACAGAACAAGGACTTATGCCCAAGGTCAGTCTTCTCTGTTAAGTTTTTGAATGTGGCTCTTGTTCATTGTCTTCTAAAAAGAAATAAACGATGCCTTTAATTTCAAGAGAGGGAAAACCTTGAGGCATTTCTGTGCATTGTAGACTATAATGGTTCTTGGAAGGAGTTTTTAATCCCACAAATGTGTTCTGAGGCTCATGAAAGGTGCTGTACGTCAATAAAGCCCCCTCAGAATGTGTGGTCCTGCATCTCCCCTGAATCATTGACACCAGGGGTTAGAGAGCATTTCGATTATTCGTGAGAAAATGACCAGCCTGGGGCAGGTGTTGGAGAGGGTTGAGACAATCACTTCATGTCCTTCTCCTTAATGACTTATCTAACTTTCAGTACACATATTGATTGGAACACAGACACATACCCAAGTTCACACAAGGTGGCTTGTTGTATCTGCAAGGGTGGAAACAGGCATTCTGGAATCCTTGTGTAGCTGTACATTAACACAGGGAAGAGTGCAATCTTTTTACAACTTCAGGCTGTTACTGGTGGAGCTTATAACAATCCATCAACCTTTTCCTTACCTTCAGTTTTCCTCCCAGTTGTCATCACTTCTCCTACCAATTTTCCCAGATGTTTATCTCTCCTTTGTGATTCCAAAAGAATACAAAGGACAGAATGCTTTTTAAAATCATATTTTATAAGCATCACAGTCAAAGCTCATCTGAAAAAGTGCTGTGAACCAATATCCTTGCTATTAAACTGTCTCCCAGCATCCTAACACTGTCCTTTTGGTCATGTCACCTGTAAAAGCACACAATAACTCACTTTTTGCTTTGACAAAAAGGCCATACAGATCCACATCACAATATTATTGTTGTTCAGCCTGGCTCTAGCTGCTGTCAGCTGCCAAAATGCCTTGAGGCTGCCCTTTTACTCTGTGATACCAGCCCAGAATATAAAAACACAAACCCACATTTAAACCACTCAAGTCCTATCCTTCTCATGCAAAAAAACTTTGGTTCTGTCATGTTTGCAATTTTTAGAATAGTCAGACTCAGCATCTCTATTTTGGGGTGTAAGAAATTTTTAGGAAGTGTTTTCATATTTTCTGGGGAAAAAGCAGAGATATATGTATGAGTACTGCACCGTGAGATGAAACTGGAGAATTTATATTAAAATATATGTGTTGTCTTCATATGTATTTCATAATAATAATAATAAAGGTACTGAACAACACAGTGATTGGATTTACAAGTGAGAGAAAATTTCAGGGAGAGAGAAATGACATGAAACCTCCAAAAAACACAGATTACTGAGTAGAACACACATTATTCTGAGGCAAAGCCTATTAATGACAGATTCCCCATGGACAAGAGATACACAGCCTGCTGAAGGAAAACAGAAGAACAGAACCCAACACATTAAATCTGATTATTAAGTGCCAAATGGTTGAAAAATCCAGTTATGGCCTAGGAGAGGGGTGTGACTGAGAATAGCATCTCTTGTTTTAGTGCAGGTTATGTTGTATTAATGTTTTTCAGAACTTCACCCAGTTGTCTTATTTGACCCAGTCTCATATCTCCTAATCTTGAACCTGAATTTTGCTGTTATTTATGCCCCCCCCCCTCCCCCCAGACATCAGTGATGTGAGAGGGGTTTCTGTAGGTGTAACAGGGTTTCTGTGTTAAAAATTTTAGACAAAACCTTTAATTCTATTTTAAGTCTGCAGCTTAGTTTTGGGTGTTGGAGTGAGATGCAGGTAGCCAGTCCTGCCTGGCTGGGATGTAACAGCACTGAATTGGTCAGCAGGAATTTCTGGCACGTGGGTGATAATGTCAAGGAGCACCATTTCCTGAAAGGTCCACTGATGAGCAGTAGAAATGGATGCAGGACAGGAACACCCATCACTGCTGGATAGGTACCTACTGATGAGATCTGGCAATGCAAGGTGGTCCTTTTCTCTTTGATTAGGGAAAATACTCACAGCTGCATACATTAACTACAGAAATTCTATAGCAAAGACAGCTCTGCTGTGATAAATTAAATCATTTTGCAAATACAGTACCAGAGAGCTGTTTCAGAAGAAATTAAGCCTAGCAAGCCTCCTGAAATTAAACTTCTGCTGAAATAAATTGGTAGCATCTAACTAATATAGTGCAGCCTATGTCACAAACAAGAGAGATGCTCTTGGTTGATTGTGCCAATTTAAAAGGCTGTTTACAGCAAATCATTTTTCAGGTCTCAGTTCATACATCAGGGGTTATAAAGTACTTTAACTTTACTTTGGAACACATTTTAAGGTGCTTGGCACAGTTGGAGTTACAGAGTTTGTCATTTTGTTTTACTGAGTTTCCTAAATTAAGTTACTGCTTATACCTCTTGTTAGTGAGAGGCTGATGGCTTTGTGCTTTCTTAACATTTAGGAATACTGGATGCTGCCACCATTTTCACGTAAGATACAGTTGGCTTTTTTAAAAAAAGTCTCTAATTGAAAAGGTGTTAATGTGGAATTAATGATCACATGAAAAATATACCTGCCAAATTCCACTGCTTTAAAATACAAGATTTGGCTAACCATGGAAACATGCAGAAAAGCCTTGGACATGTGATTATATCTTAATCACTGTTAGCAGTTGATTATTTTTAGTGCTTTATTTCATAATTTTATGTCTCACAATAATGAAAATGTTATGGGAGGAAGCAGTGGGAAACGAAAAGCTATTTGCCTGTCCTTACTTACTAACTCCTTCTTACTGATCCACTGAGGTATTTTTTTCCCCCTCTGAAATTGCTCTCTGTATGCTGGAACACACCTCATTGTTCTCCTGGTGACAATCTAATCATTCTGGCTTGCAGACCTCTCACTAACATACCAGCAAGTACCTGCCACAGAAAAGGCATTGCTGTATTACTGGGACTTATAGTCCTCTTGAAAACAACACATATTTTATCTTTGAAAAGGAACAATACAGAAATTCTGAGAATCTGTGGTGTGATTCACGTCACTTATATACTAGGATCTTTAATCACAATCTTTTCACGGACTCGTAAAGTCCAAGAAGCTTTAATAAACAAGTGAAGATTAGTCTGCCTGTTTGTTGTTGGTTTTTTTTTTTAATAACAGTACAAGAACTACTTTCTTTCTGCAACAACTTGCAAAATTACAGTTGCCTTTTCAGCTCAAAAATGGACAATTCTTTAACTCAAGCATCTTATTTTTGTCGGTATTTTGATAAACACTGCAAAAAACTTTATGTAACACTGTTGACATTTTTTCCAGTTTTTGTTTTTAACTTTTACATATAATGGTATGCTTATAAGCAACTCGTATGAAGCTTTAAATGATCACAGAATCATTGATGTTGGAAAAGACCTCTTAGGTCATCAAGTCCAACCATCAACCTAGCACCACTGCCAAGTTCCCCACTAAACCACATCCTTGAGCTCCATATCCAGATGTTTTTTGAATGCTTCCAAGGATGGTGACTCCAACACTGTTCTGGACAACCTGTTCAAACGCTTGACAATCCTTTCCATGCCAACTTTTTTCTAATATCTAATTGAAACCCAAATCTAAATCCAATATTTAAATGTTGAAGAAACTTGTTCCTCCTCAGTAAGGTTCTGTGGCCTGTGTCTCGCTTGCTCTCCCCATACATTAGTGACTGGGCTGATGCTTTGGCATGACCACAGATGTGTTCTTTTAGATTTTATTACACATCTGAGTCCAGCATCATCCAGCTGAGGCCTTGTGGCTGGGCCAGCAGTGGCCTTGCTGCCCAAAGCCCTTTGCTGGGGTGGGTGTGTGACAGCCTCACTCCCCCCGCACCGAGGAGGAAAAGAGACTTCTCCACTCCTGCAGAAACATCTCTCCATACCACACACCACTCACTGCCAGCACACGGGTGACTCATTAATCTGGATGCACAAATCAGCTTTGCAGGACTGAGAGCTAAACCACAAAAAGCTGCATCTTTAGCTCCGTGCGTTAGCAGGGACGCCGTGGGGGCTTTAATGTCAGAGGTTGCCTCCTGAAAGCCAAACTGCTGAGCCCTTGCCTGGCTGGGTTGGAGCAGGACAAAGGAGGATATATTTAGAACAAATACAGTATTTGAATTCTCAGCATGTAGGAACTAATAGTTTTACTCGGTGCTACTGTGATATTTAAGGAGAGGCTTTGCTTTGTGTCACCCTTCTTAAAGCTGTTCTCAGAGCTGTTTGGAGACATTATTCACGTGTGACGCTGATATACGTCAGCAATGTATAAAAGTAAAGAGGGAATGAGGCAAAACAATAGGTCTGCACTAGTTATTACAGATTTTAATTAGTGTTCATCAACTGCTGCTGGTCCTCAGCTCAGCTCAGGTTTTGTGAATTAGCCCATAACACCCACAGAGAGCTTTGCAGCGTAGGACACATCCCAGCTGAGCCTCTCAGAAGGAGGGATGTGGGTTTGAATGGCACAATAAAGACTTTTCAAACCACTGGGCATGGTTTGTGTGGCACCTGAAGCCGTCACCATGCAAACAGGCTCTGCCTGGGGGAATGAAATGTGTTAGAAACGCTGCCTGGGCCCTGCCAGGGGAGCCGTGAGGAACAGGTTTGGAACCCTTTCAGCCCAAGGATTAAAAAAACATGCTTGGAAAAAAGAAATGAAAAAGAAGAATGGGATTTTTTTGTCATTGTTGAAGCCTGTTTAAAATGCTGTCAGCAGTGTAAAATGGTGTAAAATGGATCAGAGCTGCCACCTCAATTTTTAATGAGATAATCTGAAATGGGAAGATCTCGGGCACCTAGTCCAGGTCAGTGCAAAATTGTCCTTACGTGATGTTCTCTTTAGTGAGCTTTAAAGTACTTGGAATAGATCAGCTATTTCCCTCTAAAAGAGACAGCATTGAAGTAATTTTCATCATTTTCTGTGAACAGACCAGCTTTAACTGCAAACTAAACTCTCTTCTTTATTTCTGTGCACAGTTGTGCTGCCATTGCTATAAAGAATTCAGTGCTGAATTCTGTAGCATGACTAAAGCCTTTCCTCACTTTATTTCATTTTAGCTCGAGGCACCTTATTTTATTCTTTATTTTCTCTCTCCCTGAGTTTCCTCAAAGCCAATTTTGCTCTTTTCCCTGTATTATGTACCCCTAGGCTGAATGCACATTTCCCACCTTTTTAATTTAGCAGAGGAACAGGAGCACAGGTAGGTGGAAATTCCTGTGTTATGTTATATAACCCACATAGTTCCATCCATAGCCTACCTAATATAAATAAGGCTATTTTGAGTTTGGGAGTCTCCTGAATTCCTTGTTTTTAAATCAAATAAACATAATATAAAACCGCTTTTAAAAAATACCTAAGTCAGGAAATCACATGATCCACCAGTAGAGTCAATAAGTTTGGTCAGTTCTTTTCAGTCCTGTCAAAAACCTATTAGGTTTCAGTGGGTTCTCCCCAACACATAAATCTTGCCAGGCATCTTATTTCTTAATTACACAGCACAGACTGTCAGTTTGCAGATGTTGTACAGTAAATTAAATTGTCAGGAATACACAGTTTCAAGAGACTACTCGTGCTGCTAAAGCTGTGGTACTAAACTGTAAGTGCTTTTTGGCTACTTTTTGGCACAGCTTTCATTACTTACAGTTGTGCAAACACTTCTGGGTGGAGAGAAATAAGCTTACCGTGTATTCAACAACTATAGACTACAATTTGCTCTGTTTTATCAGTCATAAAAGTAAAGATAATGAGATACTTCCTATATTTCCTGGTGTTTATAAGTATTTGGGGTAGATTTCAAAGTCACTCTTGTCTCCTTGTACCAGTACAAAATCAAGCCTGTGAGTGTGGGCAGCTACAGATAAGAAACAATTCAATTCCTAATAAGCAAAAGCAATCTGTCTAAAAAAATTCAGATTTTTCTGACAAAAAATGTCACAGTATTGGTCTAGAAGTTACAATGAGGTTATGTAATGGGTATTTTTCCTTATCTGTGATCTAAAGCTCTAAGAACATCTTCAGAAATCTTTAAATGATTTCTTAGAAAAGCAATATTCCACTGCCTTTGTTTTACCATTTATAAATTAACTTTATGCTCTCTGTGACTCTTCTCTCCTTAAGCAGGGAACAGAGAGCAGATTAACTCAATAATTAATTTGGCCTGACCATTTTCCAGGTCCAAGTGTGGGTGCCATCCAGAAGGAGTTATCTGGGACAGATAATGTACTGACCATACCAAAAAGTGTCCGTGCTCTCATTCCAGATTCACATTCCGAAGCCAATCCTTCTCCACTCTGTTTCCCTGGGTGATCAATACCCAGCAAGGATACACCCCTGAGTAGAATAATATCTCAAAAGAAAGGAATGCAGTGCAATAGTTCTGTCTCATCAGTACATTTTGGTCGTGGCACTGGGGAGAGTGACCTCAGTGGAAAGGTCTTTGGGCAGGATATTTGATTTACTGGAAAATAACACAAGGAACCAGAGTAGATGAGTGCAACTGTTAAGCTACTTACATTTTATTCTTAAAATAAGATACTCAAAGAACTGTTCATTACTTTTCTTTGACTGGAGTATATTTACCAAATAGACTTTTGTATTTCTGAAAATTCTGTTGCCAATCAATTCATCTGGGTAGATATCTCCCCTTATAAAAACATGTGTTCAGATATTGTTTTTTAGTGAAAAGGCAGAATGTTGTGCAGCTTTTCAGGCTCTCTGTGTGCTTTCAGAGATGCCAGTGGGAAACAGTTCTCTAAACACTGACTTAAAGTCAGTCTGAGATGAGAGAGCAGAAACTCAAAGGTTTTGTGTATTTTTATCAACTGTTGAACTGATTCAAGTAGATAAGTAGCTACATTGAGGGTAGATAAGTGGATCTGAGATGCATTTTCATTGTCTTAAGATCAGAACCACAAAAATAGAATAGGTATTATTTTGTATTTGTATTTAAAAAGTAAGTAAATCTAATTTCATGTTAAATCTCAGAGTTAGAAGATGCTTGTTTCCTTTTAGAAATGTGCCTTTCTCCAGCACTTACACTGCATGTGTATTTTAAAAAACTATATCTAAATCATTGCTATACTTTGTCAGTGAGACACTGGCAGCTGATTGCATCAGTCATGGGAGAATTTTCAAAAACACCACAATTTTAGTTCTGTTATGGGAGAGAATTGAGAGGTTTTTGCTTTGTACTGAGAATGAAACTGCTAACATTTCTACTGATCTCTGTTCTGGAATTAATTTTTTAAATGACACTGTAGGAATTTTTTTTTTTTTACTTGAATTCTAGATTATATTCTGGGAGGTTTTCATAGAATCATAGACTATACTGAGTTAGAAGGGACCCACAAGGATCATCATTGTCCAAACACACCTTGAGCTTTGGCAGGTTTGGGGCCATGACCACTGCCTTGGTAGCCTGTTCAGTGCCCAACTACCCTCTGGGGGAAGAACTTTTCCTAATATTCAACCTAACCTTCCATAGAGATCAAAAATATCCTGTATTTGCAGTCACCCTAATTTGCTAAAACACTTAAGCTGAAATCCCACTGTCTTTGAGAGAATTTGGCATAACTTCACCAGTTTACTGAATATTTCCAGCCTGCTAAACTGGGACAGACTCCAGTAGCACTTGGAATAATTTTTTTAACTTGGTGCGTGTTAATTTAAAACTACCTCAAGAAGATTTAAGAGACAAGGAGGAGAGGAAAGAAGAGTAATTTACTTTTCTTTGTGAATCTGTTCTTAAAAGTTCATTTGTTTTGAGCATCCCAGGGCTCCTCTCAGCCCCTCTGCAAAGCCGAGACTCTTCCCCCAAGATCCTGAAAACCCACTAGAGCTGGGAGAAGGATGGAGGTGGAGAAGGGATGCCCTGGGTGGAGGATTTACATCAATCTGTCCCAAAGACATTTCTTCCCTGATCTAAATCTATAAAGCTCTTACATAGTCAAAAACTTCCAGGAACCCATGAAACTTGTGAGCACCCCTTTGCCATTGGGATTTATAAGTACCCAAAATGTTTACAAAGGTATTAAAGACAGGATCGTTTCTTTAAATTACTGCAAACAATGTGTTTTTAAAAGTTTTCTGTGGTATTGCTTGTGCATGTGGAATATTATCCATGAACTTTCCCCCAATGATTCCAGAGTGTTCTATAATCTGTTCACAATAAGCACATTTGCAGATGTGCAGACATATAATGATAGGAAGTACAAACAAGACCTCTGTGTAAAGCATAGCACAACGGGGAGCCAGGAAGGTTTATGATTCAAGTAGTTTAAAAGACTTTTTAATAGCTGATGAAGGAGATTTCAGTTTGCTTTAGGAAAGTACATACAATAATAATGCATGCACTTCATGGAGAAAGAGATGAAACAAAGCAATTATTCTGCTCTAAGCTGATGTTATTTGTATGATAAACCGCCTAGATGAGGTATTTTACCAAGAGCCTTGTTTAAAATATTTTTTCAGGCAATCTGAATTGTAATTTATGCATGAATCAGCCAGACCTGATGAGCTTTATGATGTTGGTTATTTTTTTTCCCCAGTATGTTGCTTTTTCAACAAACAGACCTCTCAAACATTTGTAGAAACCTTTATGTACCACAACATGAAAACCTTAAAGGCATCTTCCTCATACTTCTTAGGATTTCACCATTCATGTAGGGACTAAATTGAATTTATCACCACCAGAGCATGATGCTGGCCTGTGCAGGAGGATTTCCTGGGTGCTGAGCAGTGCAAAGGTGCAACACAAGTATTTCATTTCTAGTACAAAAGAGTGAGATGTGCAGGGCAGGCCCTGGGTATCAAAATTCTGCTTGACATAAGGAGTGTTACATTTGCTTGGCAGAGAACATTTTGAAAAGATCCATAGGCATGTCCTTCATCCAGAGAGGTTTTAAAGATCTTTCTTATCTGAAGTGCCAGGGATTGTTAAACTGCATCTCTTATTTTTAGCTGATTCCAAGTGTGGGTCCTTTTTGAAGACAAAGTGGAAAGAGATTGACAGTCTTAAAAAAAAACCTTATGTACTGTATCTCCTGGCATTGTATCTCTGTACAGGATGTGTGAGTTGTTGCAGATTCCTGGGGTTTTTTTCATTGTGATGCAATTTAAATATATTTTATCTGTTTGAAAAGTTAAAGCTGGGAGTTGGAAATCCAGATTCAAATGCTTTAACAGTTGGAATATAATGCTAGAATTGTGCCATCACTGCAGTTTGTGAATGACATTCAAGCTCTCTTGTAAATTTAACTCATTCCTGTGTTACCTTCTATATTAATAAAACCTGTTTGTTAGGTCTAGAGTTTTTTCACACTGTCCTAAATTTCAGAAAATTAGGGCAACCATTTCTACTGCTGTTTCAGATCTTCCAGGGAGCTGGCAGTTACTTATTGGAAAAGTCCTAGTTTGAGTTCTGCAGGTCAGTGACCAAAGGTGATTTGAAAACCCACGGTAAGAGAGCTGCCTTTTAAACTCTGCTGCTTGCCTAAGAAATGGCATTATTATCTTCTACATGTTTGAGCAGAAGTATATAAATATTGTATGCTTGATCTTAAACCGGGCAAATTCATAGTGGAAATATAACATTTTAATATAAGAGTATCAAATACTGAGGTCAGAAGGGCTCTGGAAGTAAATGCCAGAGCAAGGACTGCCTCCTTTTATGTGGGATGGATTTCTTTGAGAGGAATATGGTGGTGTGTTTGCTTTTCTTAATAAGGGCTTAGAGATTTTTTGGAAAAGGACATTGGTTTGAGATCAGCTTTTAAACTTGAGCTCCAGAATTTGGCAGCAGGCAGG